GAGCTGGAAAAATCATTGTTGTTCTAATTTTAAAAGTATTTAAAAGTCCATTGTTGCCAACTGTAAAGGTTATGCCAAACATGTGCCAAACTGAAATTGGTCTCACTCACATAAGTGCATAACTACAGTCCATTGTTGCCAACTGTAAAGGTTATGCCAAACATGTGCCAAACTGAAATTGGTCTCACTCACATAAGTGCATAACTACTGATGTTAATGAAACAGAGCAAGGTGAACATAAAGAAAGAGTAATATTCCCAATAAAGAAGAAAATCAAACACACTTCTACTTAAAGTTTGCAGCAAAATAAATAAATAAACAATTATTTTATTATAGTTGTTAAGTTGCCACTGAACTATAAACTTTAAAGTTCAATATGTGAAAATACTAAATATTTTCCTCATAATACAATTTTAAAGTTTACAGTTATTAATGTATTTACAGATATTAAATACATAAGGAGTAATCACAGTAACTATTGTGATTGTGTTTACATTTGATCTAAACATAGTCATAGCATATGCCCACTTGCATCTTTTTTTTGTCTTGCCCATTTTTTGGAATGCAGCCTATTGGCATGCCAAGTCATAGGTCAAGTGTAGCCCTCAGCATTATGAGCTTCCTGTATTTCCCTTTCTCAGATATCTCTCCTTTAAATACCTTATTAATTTATCTGCCTCATTCTAATGGCTGCTATCTTCTACACATGCCTTTCCTCAGGTTTCTGATTCACAACTACATGGATACTGTTCCCTCTCCTATAACAAACACACTGTATCTGAGTTCTCTGTGCCTTGATTTTTTTATCTCCTTGGACTTTTTCCAACTCAGCATTCTTTCCACAGGTCTAGAATTTTTGGCTAAGTCAATCTTTTGTTTTCTTCACAGTAGCTTAATTTTTTTTAACTCTGTTTCATTTACACAGCCATTGGAATGTTCATCAAATTTCCATGACGAAATCTGTATTTACTTCACAGTGAGTACACACATCTAGACTTGAACCAGTATTTACAAATGAGAAAAGCAAGTTTCCTGAGTTGACTTGTTCCATGTTTTGTAAGAGAAGGAAAAGATATGCAATTAGAAGGCACTGAGACACATAGGAAAATGAGTGAAGGAGTAGGGAGGATATGGTTATCCTATCTGATCTGCAAAAATCCAGATGACCACTATATAGCGCCAGATGCATAAATCTATCTCTTTCCTTCAAACTAATAGTCATCTGTACTTTTGCAACCTTGATATACTAGCTCTAGAGGAGATGGGGAAAGCTGAAGTTATTAGGTGAAATAAATAGAGGAAACTACAGACAGTACAGTTTTAGGATGGATAAGCTGTTACTGAAGTCTCATACTCATTTTCCATGAGGATCAAATTCTGTCCACGCTATCCAGAAGGAAAGGAAGGATCATCAACTGCCTCCAGGACTTACTCACCTAACAGGCAATGGATAATGTAACACCAGGAGGAGCAGTCTCTATCTCAGCATTTTGGATGGCATAACAGTGAGTCCCCTTCTGTCTGTTGTATCTTTCAAAGAGAGAGCTACTTTCTAATGATGCTGCAGGTATGTATTCATATCACCTAATGGTGGAGGTAAGGGGGCAGAACTAAATCCTCCATACTTCCCAGAAAACAATAGTGAAGTAAAGGCCATGTCTGCTATCTGACACCATAACGTACCTGTCCACTTCTGGAAACAATGCTGGGCCAATCCTGTCCCCATCTGAAACAGGTGACAGGGCCACCATGACTACAATTCGAAATTGGCACTTGCTCCTCTGAACTCCCACCATGCATTCAGCTGGATCTGTATGTGCTGTTGTTCACTGTCATGACACATGGACTCATATCCTCTTACCAGTGAAGACAGCTGCTGCTCCTTTGTAGCAGCTTGTCAGGGATTGCTGTCTATTATGGTTTGGCTTTTCCGAATGGAATGGTCTACACTGCTGAAGCTTGACAAGTTCGTAAGTACAAGCAGCAGTAAAGATATTAGAACGAAATACTGTTGGGGCACAAGAAAAAGCTTTATCTACATACTCAGTTTTGGCTGGATTGCAAAACATGAATGAGATGGTGTCTGGTGGACAGTTTTTCCTCACACCCCCTCCCCTCCAAAAAGCAGTTTTGATGTATTCAAACAACACACTGAGGCCAAACTAGCTAACCTCATTGTGTGAATCCAGACCATACAGATAAATTTTGGTACAATGTGTCAAAACTCAGAAAATTGGTTTGAATAAACCATAATTAGCCATAGGTCAATAACAGGTCCATGCAAAGCATGTTAGCTGAAGCAAAACACCTCAAAACATTACAGCAGTTACATGCTTTGGAAGATTCACGAAATTGTTTCAAAAGCTGCTTCTAGCTGCACAACTGTTTCACTAGATTCCAGTGGAAGTTTTGTCTGCATGCCCCTGCGATCAATCAGGAGCTGCCTATTTTAATGCTTCACTGATGCTAACTTATTTTGTGAGGCGCCTCTTTCCAATGTTTTGCAACCATAAGCAAATCGTGCAAACACAGCCTGTAAGCATACATCTAAATCAGGGAAGGAAGGAAGGAACAGATAGTTTAGGCTAAGTTTATGCAGCACTCAGAGCTAACCAGAGGATAGCTTGTTCCTGGCTTTGCATGTGTTTCTTATGTTATAAGCGAGTGTCTTGCTTATAACCATGATGTTTAGGCCCACTGTGGGAAGCCAATCCGTTGTGATTCATTTCGGTAAACCATTCTTAAGCAGAGCAACCACATTCATATGTGAACACAATCCTAATCTGATTCTCCCTATCTTGCACGTTCTCCTTCAAACACGCCACGCGCCAGCAGCCGCGCGCACCAACCTGTCAGCCCAGCCTCAACTTCCGCACGTCCCCGCCGGGCCAGACGCCGCATTCACAAGGCAGAAGCCGGAGGCAGGAGCCAGAGCTTCGAATTGGCTCTTCCGGCAGTGTCCTCCCAGCTCCGCACTGCCAATCACTTCCCGCGTACCTTCCTTGTGGTTTCCCTCTCCCTCCAATCGGAAGCCGCCCTCTCTCTGGCGTCTGAAGGAGGCCTGACCCCTCCCGCGAGAGTCAGCTGCTTCTCCGGCCCGCGCGCGCCTCCAGAGCGCTCCGGGACGGTTGTTCCTCCGCCCCGCCCCCTCCAGCCGTGGGCGCGCGTGCTTCGCTGGAAGCAGGAGGAAGAAAGTTACTGAGGCAGGAGG